AAAAAAAGAAGAGGGACAAAAAGTTGGATTCATTCAGTGGTACTACTAGCATTCATTCAGTGGTACTACTACTAAGACTATGTCTACTTAGGGCAGGTAATAACCGCAGAGCCGAACCACGAGATTGAAGTAACTAGAAGAATAAGAATGGGGTGGAGCACATTCGGCAAGCACTCTCAAATTATGACAGGTAGATTGCCACTATCCCTCAAGAGGAAGGTATATAACAGCTGTATCTTGCCGGTACTTAGCTACGGAGCAGAAACCTGGAGACTTACAAAGAGGGTTCAGCTTAAATTGAGGACGACGCAGCGAGCAATGGAAAGAAAAATGGTAGGTGTAACCTTAAGAGACAAGAAGAGAGCAGAGTGTATTAGGGAACAAACGGGGGTTAAGGATATCATAGCTGAAATCAAGAAGAAGAAATGGACATGGGCAGGGCATGTAGCGCGTAGACAGGATAACCGCTGGTCATTAAGGGTAACTGACCTGATTCCCAGAGAAGGGAAGCGGGTTAGGGGGAAACAGAAGGTTAGGTGGGCAGATGAGATTAAGAAGTTTGCGGGTATAAATTGGAAGCAGCAAGCACAGGACCGGGTTAACTGGCGGAACATGGGAGAGGCCTTTGTCCTGCAGTGGACGTAGTCAGGCTGATGATGATGATGATGATGATGATGACTACTAGCAACGTATCCTTCCGGTTGCCTGAATAAATTTGTTTAGCTAGGACAGAATAGCATAGCGGCCCACACCCAACTGAGTGGCTCCAAGTTTTAAAAGGATGAATGTACAAAAGGCGGCTAATTCCTGCATACCCATCGGCCTTTCGAGAGTTATTCGGCGGAGGGAGGCGAAACGGCGGCATGTGAGAAGGAAGTGATTGACCGTTGCCGGCTCATTGCAAACGGCACATAGGTTAGTTAATGAGAATCCAGATTCGGGAAAAGAATAGTTTAACCAACAAACGAAAGCTTGTGAGGGTCAATTTACATTGACGGAAAAGGAATTTAGCGGTGTTCCATGTGAACTGCTAGTGCAGGAACTCCTCAGATTGTAGGAGCGATGTTTCGTTGTTTGTGAAGACCTACAGGCGTTTATGAAGATTGTTTACGAAGTTTTGTTTCTGAAGACCTACAAATTATTGTAGTCTAGAAATGTGTTGCTTCGGTTCGATCATAATGCAAGGGCACTTCGCTTTGACGTTTTGGGTTCATTAATAAGAGAAACAGTAACGCGCCACCGTTGGTTTCAGAAAGAAAAGGTCGTAATTTAGGCGTCGCATTTGTAATCAAAACAAACCGGAGGTTCACCACGAGCTCCACCTTATATCTGGGCCTTGCCTGCAGCAGCTCTGCAGACAAGGCCCAGATATTTATTCATCAACGACTCCGCCTAGAAAGCAGCGCTGACGGTTCGTTATCCTTCGATGTAGGAGGGGATCACAGGTTTTCTCAGTGACCCTCTTCAGAGCTTGTCACTATAGTCCCACGGCGACATCAATGGATACTTGTGTTTGGTGATGTAGGGCGGCCAGTCGAGCTGGCGACGTCTCCTCTGGTCAAAAGAATCACGCTATCTAAGCTTGAGCAACAGATTTCACAAAGTGACGCCTCACTTATTGACCCTCCGTGCCTCCGTCACCGCGCGCTTTCGCCCGGGCCGCGAAGCCAAGAAAGGTTCAGCATGATTCGTGCATGCGTTGCACAGCGAAATCTGCAAGAAACAGACCACATCTTTGTCACAGATTTTTCTGGGGAATCAGGTGGTGCCACTTCGATTTCTCGAGTTTTCCCGATCTTGCGTGGTGTTGGGGTTCGAGGATTAGGAGGACCCTACCACGGCCTCTGGATTGTTTGGACCGGGTCCTGCCGGTCCCGACTGGTAGCTGGCTCTCATCACCAGACACATTCTACGTAGTGAGGAGACGGACCCTTGCACGACAGTCAGAGGTTTATTTACATCTCCCCAGCATAGAGAAGCAATAAAGGAAAAAAGTAGTGTACTTCGGCTAACATAGCCAGCCGTCGGACATCCTGAGACCCCCGGTGTTTGCAGCTTCCATCAGTCGGGTAGTTCGATGACCCAGTGACGAGGATGAAAATCTGGCAAGGTGAAAGGGGAGGGAAGAGCGTCGTTGGGCTCCAGGGTTGCAGACGCTCCTCTTGAACGACTTCGTAAAGGCGTTGTACACGTATTTTGTCGTATTTCCTGTACCTTTGTTTAAGTGACACCTCAGCTGTCCAAGACATTCGGCAGCTCTTTAGCACAATTAGTCAAGTGTGTACTTTCTTTCGGGTGTCACCTAAAGGAACAGCAGTTCTGAAGAAACATCCGCAAGTGTTTACAATGTCATTTCGCCGGCTGCAGCGATATTGTGAAACAAGGTGGGTTAAGCAAGACTATTCAGCTGCAATGTTTATGGAGAGGCGCTGTGCCAGAAAGTTTGCTTACTTGAAGAGTTCGTGGACCGCGGCCAGCGCTCGTTGCCTTTATCAGTGAATATGCTCGCCCCACTTTCCTATACGCCACGCTGTTATGCCCCTGTCACACGTGCCAACTTGCTCTAGGTTCAAGTACACTTCACCGCGAGTGTCGTTTCCGCGCTGTCATACGAGTGAGCTGAGTGTCGCTCGCTGTGAGGTACACTTGCCAGAAAGCGTGTTCCCCAATCGCACTTTGCTGCGACGAACTGTTTAGCCTCGGTACGAGTGGCTTGCCCAGAAATGCGCTGTTGCCTAAATTGGCGCCTATACTATATTTATATTACTGCTATGTATTAAAGCAAGTCAAAAATGAACAAAAACTTCCCTCCTTTCACCCTGGGGCAGTATGCGGCCACATCCTCTAGCGCAATGTAATAACTTCCGGTGCAATGGCTGCGTCCGTCGCATTGTTTAATTCTGGACACACCAGCACATGTGTAGGTGAGTCGTTATCTAGTTATTTGCGATGGCGTGTGTCACTGGTGCTAGTTGCACGAAGACAACGTTGTCGGACGATGAGACACTGGTGCTAAAATAACAAATATATGTGCTCTACAAGTCCGCCAATTTCCACTGCCATCTTTGCCAAAGTGCCCTTTCTCGTGTCGCAGTCAACCGCCAAAATGACACTTTTTGACCGCAAGTATGCTCACTCAAAGTGAACTTAAGTTGCCATGTGTTATAGGTTCTAGTGAGACATTCTTATAGGCCTCACACACCACGAGTATGTGTATCTACAGAACTCATATATTGGCATGAGCATTGCCTTGGAGCTAGTTGACCACTACTGACTAGTCTGGGAGAGATGATAACTAACGCAAAAGCAGGATTCCGCAAAATATTTTCTCTATGTGAAGACAGAGCGCCAAAGTTCAGAGTGAAGTGCGAGATTCTATAAGTGGTAGGAAGAAGGTGCTTAACAGCGCAAACGACAGGAGAAGATAGAAGAGACCAAAACAGATCGCGTTCTGTTCTTGTCTATTCTACTCCCTCCTGTCGTTTGCGCTCTTAAGCACTTTCTTCGTCTACCATGCAGCACCAACCAGCCCAATCAAGCACTTTGTAAGAGTGGTAGGCACACAGAGATACCGGAAAACTACGATCGTAGTTTTTGGGAGAGTACCACGGGCGAGCCTTGTTTAATTCGTACATAGATGACCTGAGAGTTTCCCTCAAATTACACTTTTCAAACCATCGCAATACACTGCGAAGTTTGCCATTTGTGCTGCCAAAGGAGGCCTCAAAAGGCAAATTTCAATCTGCGCAGGCCCTCAATTTTCACCTGAGAGATATGACAACAACTGATATACTTACACCAAAAAGCGAATGAGAAATCATGAAAACTGAATGGCAAGCCTTCTGGGAGGACGAATTTCCCCACTTTGAAATGGACGCTTTAGCTGAATGAGGCAAAGCCCTCTCCCCGAACATTCATACACTCCTCAAGATATTGACGAAATTCCCCATCTGTACAGCTGCTGCAGCACGCGGCTTCTCGCCACTAAAAAGAGTGAAAATGTATTTGATGAATGGTACAGCTGAGAAGCAGCTTTATGATCTGGCCCTGATGTCCAGTTACAGGATACAAGTCTGTGTCGACTAATTTATTACTCTGTTTATAGAAAACTGCGGCGCATCAATATTGCAGCAGTAACCGATCGTTTTGGCCATGCCACATGTTCGTTTTTTATTTTATTTTGAAGTGAACTTTACAGCGTGGTAAAACCATTAACAATGCCAGTCTATAAAATTGCCTGCTAGAATGAATGTTAACGTTCTGCCTATTTTGTGTTAGGGAAGCATCCATGTTTTAGGAATTTGTTTTTCAATAAAGTTGTTTTCCCCGAATGTGTGTGTTCTTGCTTTGAAAATTTCTGCCATAAAATAGTTCCCCTTCTTTTCGCAGACCTGTTGTAAAAACAGAGTGTGAGAAGTTCGTTAGAGAAAGCGATTGCTGTTTTTTTTCGCCGCACATGTGCAAGTGGACAACCAGTTTCTTTGCATACCCCCCCCCCTTTCTTTTTGTCACTCGTTTTTTCGTTAGTGACAATGCGTGGGCCTTCCTGGTCAATATTATTTGGTAGGAAAGCATTTTTTCTAGCGCACATGCACTACAGCTTTTCTGCATTGTAAAAGTTTGCTTTCCATCGCTGATGAATGGATCTTGTGCCGCATTCTAATTTGTTCTCACTTTTTTCAGTAATTGGGCACCTTCTGTATTTCACGGGCACTTTCTTTCTTTTTGCCAAAAAGTTTTTTTACTTCCTTCACCAAAAAAATTAATTCTGGATATGTGCATAGTAGTAGTAGTGGTGTTTTACGGGGTCACATTGCGAACAAGGCCAGCAGCCTTCATATTGTGTTCCAGAGACAGATTGCCTTCCTTGCCGTATGTATACCAACTGCCCCAAAAACACCGATGGACCATAAATAGGGGAAGACGAACAAGATGGATGTCCATGGCAAGTGTTCCTCTCTTTCTTTTTTCTCTCTTCTCTATGCTATATAAAGAAGTGTTGCAGATAGGGCAGGCAGTTCTTGTTTCGCTTGTTTGCAGCCATATAAACCTATCGTCTCTTATATATTCCCGGAGTCTGTTCACAAGGCTCTTGAGTCTGCATAAGAATAACCGCAAAAATGAACTCGTTTGCAATAGTGATTTTGTTCCTGGCACCTTACGTGTTATCGTATCAAATGAAAAGAAAGGTAAGCTCTTGAAACCACCTTTTATGATAAAAATTGGATTTGGCTAAAGTCCATTTTTTTAGTAACACGACAGTCGTAACCCCTTTATATCTCAATTTACGCATATATGCTCACATGTGTTTTCCTTGCATATCTCCCCCAGTGTTTCAAATCAGTCATCCCATGTATGGTGTGTGATTTTTCAAAATATATTTTCGTTACTGCTAGCTCACAACACAGGTGTTAAAAGATAAGCTAATCAGGGGGTTAAGAGGCCAGTTTTGTTTGAGAGAAGTAATGTAACCACAAAAGCGTCGCCTATAAATAAAAAGGCTGGATGAAAAGAAATAACAGAGGTATATTCAAATGCGCGACCCTGTTATCACCCTAGCTTTGGGAGTTGGGGACACTCAAACTGACTGATATATTTCGTGGTATACAAATACGCCCAGAACATAAAGCGCCTGCAAGTTTGTATTTATCTTTAACAAGAACGAAAAAGAAAAGACGAATCTTGCATTGGGCCACGTGAATTATAATGCAGACCTATATCGAGGCTTCTAGGAGGTTGTCAAGCCTTAGCTAAATGGTTCAGCTCGTTATGAAGTTGCGTACAGGTCTTTGCGCAGCTGTGGCTAGGTTGGGTCTACGCTCATTCTAAGAGCTGTGACAAAGTTTATGTTGAACCACAGATGCGACACGGGCGCGTCACCGTTATTCTAAGCAAGCCTTCCACCGCCTCGGGGTCTCTTTGCAGCTGCCGTTGCCTTTCCCGTTCTTTAGTACTCTTTCGTTGTGCGTGCTCCGGACTTGGGGCTCGCCACCCTCTCTTGGTAACCATTTTCGTTGAGCTAATAACTGTGATAAGTCATGGTATTTACGCAATTTCCGAGGAACATGCCCCATCATTGTCATACTTTTATTAGGTTTGCCAGACAAAGAACAGTTCGCTAGACTGTTTCGTCGTTAAAGAAAAAAAGAGAAATTCAAGCTGTGGCACCTCCACTCACAAAAAGGTTGTGTTCACTGTGTATCTCCAGCAGTGTGTAGCTCTCCGTGCAGCCACCATTAGGCAACTCTGCGCAACGCCAAGGTTGCCCGCTCCGGGACTATGTTACTTCCTCTGAAGTCGCTTTATGTTTCACTGCACAGCGCTTTGCTCTTGGGGATTTATGACTTTTGAAATCGGATACCATTGCAAACGGATCAAGTCATGGCAGCATTGGTTCGAGCGTTCAATATTATTATTGCACCCGAAAATAGTGCTCTGGTTTGGTCATCTAAAGAAGCTGTTGTCATACTATGTGTCCATCGAAGGTCTTTTTTTTCCTTTTATATACTCAATAATTTCTCTATACTAATCTCTCATAACGTTTGATGCCCCGTTCATGCCTCAAGAGTCGTTTTGTTTGCATTTTGATTACAAGAGCAATGGAAAGGGTCTACATTCTAGGGACAAGTGTCACCATGGTAGGGCCATGGCGTCCCGGTATGACCGCCTTTCATGTGTCGCCATGGTAGGGCCATGGCATCCCGGTATGACCGTCTTTCATGCATCTTTAAATTTTCGTATACTGAGTAGGTACTGTGATTCGCTTGCGTACATTAAGGTATTTTTCACATTTATCCAACCCCTCATAGTCAATATTCATTCCAAATAATGAATTCTTTATAAATTACGTATTAGGTACGCACAACTGTTTGCCCGAAATAAAATAACTCATCACGAGAGTTAGGTAGGGTACGCTTTCAACATTCTCACTAAAGCAGATCATCTAACACATGCTCACAGTTTCCAAAGCCCTCCTCGATGGCATCCCTAATAACCCAATAATAACAAGCTAAGTGTCTCGTTTGTTTACTTTTATTTATTTATTTGAATATTCCAAGCTTATACGGGCTCCTAAAGGATGCGATTTGCGCGTACAATGCATTGAAATACTATACTCCACAGCACAATACTGCGATCATCGAGTCTGCCCAAGCCTCAAAACATGTGAATAGCCCGACGAGTTAATGCTACCGACGTACTACAAAGTCTACAGCTGTGCAAGTGCGAGTGGCACCCTATGATCGTGCAGTGCGTACTTCGCCAATTATACAGCAAAAGCCATAATCATGACGCAGTGGGCAACTCACAACGTTCCCCCGATCAGGTCTGCGTATCATACATGCTAAAATGCACTTCGTTGGCCACCTCGCTCCCGGTGAGCTCTTTTGTTCCTCCTCACTTCGCTTGTGTGGAAGGTTTACTTCGCGGGGTGAACTGGAGCCTATCTCCGCCTGAAATCTGAGAGATGTTTTTTTAGCAGCCTTTCTTTAGCAGCCGCGGTGCTGTTTTCCGTTATTCACGCAGCGTCTACAGAAGATCTCGAAAGAGTCGGTGATAGTTACCTTAGCTGGTGCTACTAGGACGACAGATGTCAAAGCTTGGCCGCTGATATATCTGGTCGAAGCGTTTCCTTCTTGTCCACCACAGTGCCATTAATTCTGGCGTTTTCGACATAGCATGAAGGGTTGCCGACCAGTAGAGCGGTGTCAAATGTCTGCAGAAAAACACAACTCTAACGAGTGCAAAGTTCAGGAAATGTCTTGCTGTTTCTGCGCTGACCCTCAACGGTATGATGATGGCACATGCACTGCGATAGCTCAAGAGATCTATATTATGAAAATGGCTAAAAAAAAGTTCTTCAAGGTGTGAAGCTCGAATGGTCATCACAGAGCGCTCTCGTGGATACGCTGGTGCTACGATCCGTAATAACCATGTCACAGATTCGTCACTCTCAGAAGTATTGTCCTCGAGCGTTGAGAAAACAATAACAAAGCTATTAGAGAATCTTTTTCTGGCGCTGATAGAGTCATTCACGCAAACAGTGAACGCATAAATCAATCAAGTTCTAATGAATGGAATTTAGTATGATGTAGCTTCTATACTTCATCAGCTAAGGAGGTAAAAAAAAAATCACTACAAGGAGTGCCTTTTAACTTTAGCCAAACGACAACAACATATGTTGAAGAGTTATACTGATCAAGAGCTGGTCCTTCGGACAGCGGTCGTAGAATATTCCTCGTCGAACATTAAGATTGGTGCTCTGATTCAGGTTCGGAGGACTAAGAAAAGAAATTCACCCCAAGAAATATAAAATGGCGGGCATCGTCTGGAAAACTTGCCCTACAGTGAGTCCTAAAAAAATAATGACACAATATCAGGAAGAATTCTGATCAAAATGTTTTTTTGACAGAAATTTGATTGCAGAAGGCAGTGAATGTCCTGTATATCCCCAAAAAAGATGTATTAACAATTCTGCAGTAGAATTGCCCGTCAATGGTTTCCGCAGCTACCGATTAATTTTGCCTTTGTAATCACCATTCTCCAGACGGTATAGTGTTGCAAGAAACCTGGCTTTTTAAAGAGAAAAATTTTCATCCTGAAAAACTACCACAGATTTGGCTTAGACTACCCCTCTCGAGGTAGTGATTAATAAAAGTTGATCGCTTCACAAATTGCGCATCGGGTGAAAATTACAGGTCAAATAATTTATTTAGAAAGTGTAATTTTAACGTTAGACATCTCCCATATGGCATGCCGCCCCTTTTCTTTCGTAAACGCTTTTTTGTCAGGTGTTCGAAATTCTAATGTTTTAGATACTGTAATTTCATCTTGCATAAAAGAAGTAATATGGATAGGAGACTTCAATTTTCATCAGATTTCGTGGACATGCAGAAAAGATATGAGTAGGATGCGTTTTTGAGATTTTGTTTCTAAAAATAACTTCCCATGTATTAACAAGCAAACCCTCTTGTTAATGTGCAATCAGTCTTATTTTGCGATTGATCTTATTTTTTTAGTTCCAGCCTCTTTATTTCTACATGGTCTACTTCGATTGATTAATATGTGGAGTTTAACGTCCAAAAACCACCATATGATTATGAGACACATCATAGTAGAGGGTTCCAGAAGTTTCTATCACCTGGGGTTCTTTAACGTGCATCCAAATCTGAGCACACTGGCCTACAGCATCATTTCCGCCTTCATCGAAAATGCAGGCGCCGCAGCCAGGATTTGATACCGTGGCCCGCAGGTCAGCAGCTTTGTACCTTAGTCACTAGACCACCACGGCGGGGCTGATGGTGTACTTTGAGCCCGGCCACAAGTAGCCACCACATTTCCGTATTGTTTGTGTTGTACGTTCCGTGACTTCAGTAATCAGGCAGTCAATTTTTAAAATCAATTTCAATACATTTGAACAGACACTACGTGTGGCTTTCTTTGTCAAAACGAACCGAGGAAAATGAAGAGTGGGACATTAGCATCCTTATTGATTCTATTAAAAACATTCCTAAATAGAGCTAAATTTTCAGTACAGGTCTCTAAACAACGTCCTTTGAATCATTGGTGGAACTCTGATGGTTCACGTCGCTACAGCCTAAGAAAAGCGGCCTAGCGAAAACTGCTCCATAACCAGTGCCCTAGAATCTGGAACCCACGACTGCTGTTGTTAAGCGAACAGTTGCCGCTACGACAAGTAGCTATGATAGCCGACGTTTCGTGCTCCTTTCGATGCCTGGCCACAAGAAATCACTTTTCAGCTCCCTTAAAACCAAAAAGTAATCCGATCACCAATAAACATCAAATCGATAGTCTCAACGCCAAGTCAGTTGTGTACTTTTCTGGAAAATATTGCTCAAGGGCTGCGAAGCTGCTTCACGGCTGCTTCCTTTTACCACTGATAATCTTTTGTTAAAAGCATTGAATTTGAAGAGGTTACAGCGTCGGAAACAGCATAAGTGGTGAAAATATTGCCCGATTCCGCTCCACATCTTGATGGAATAACTGCATCGGTAATAAAAATAATACGTGAAGTAACACTTGAGGACTTGCTTGCAATAGTTAACCACTCCAAAAGAAATTCGTGGATAGCGCCTAAGAGAAAAATTTCGAAAATAATTCCTTTCGTAAAGAAACATGAAGCTGGGTTTACAATAGATACCATTGGGCCTATTTCACTCACATCAAATCTGGTAAAAATAATCGAACGAATTCTGAACAGTGAGACAAACATGTAGTTGGACGAAAACGTGACTTTAAGCCTATGCCAAATTGTATTCAGGCCTGGCTGCTTCATTTGGTGTGCCCATGTCGATTTGTAAAACAGGATACAACTAGCGCCTTCTAAAAAAATACATGTTGCCCCCTTAGTAACTCTAGATATTGCTAAATACTTGACAGTGTGGAACACGTTAAACTATTAAATTCGTTTACTTGCGTAGGTTTACAAAATACTTTGGTGCATGGGTTTACTCCTTTCTAGAAGAGACAGAATTTTATTGCTCCTAATCTGGCGTACCTTCTTTAAAGTATACACAAAATAGAGGCCTCTCGTAAGGCTCAGTACTGTCACTCATATTTATTGTTTTACTGTGCACGATTATAGTACACACTTATGTACATGTGTATGTATACGTTGACAACATCGCATTTTTTGCTAAAACTGCAGATATACATACACTATATCAGATGCTACAATTTTATATGAACGCTGTGGACACGGGGTTGGACGACATTAATTACTCATTCATAAAAAAATCAATCATAAATTTTCCTCTTAGTGTTCCAGTGTAAATTTTCGTACTTTACAGACAGGACGTTATCCCGCAGGTGAAAATGAGTAAATACTTAGGATTGGCTTGTTCTGAAAACCTGAATGTGAGTCTGCATATAAAAACTACGGTAGTTAAAGGAGGACGGGTGGTTGAGATGCTTCGTAGGCTTGGTAGTAAAGGATGTAGTTTACGTCATGATGTGCTCATCATGAAGTAATGTATGTATATTTTCCCATTGTTAGAGTTTGGCTGTGTCTTGTTTTCTGGATCACCACCTACAAAATTGGCCCACTGGTACTTCTAGAACGTGATGCGTCACGATTATGTCTTGGGGTCCCTAAATTTGACGCAGTTATTTCTTTATATAAGGAACCACGCCTGCCATGTGTTCTTGCAACGTTAAAAATACTAAGACTTCGTACCTTTCTAAAATTATATGTATTGCGACACAGAATGTCGCAGTATGTTTTATTATTGAGCCGACGTTTTTTTTATCGGGCGTCCTTTTTATTGACGTCCTTATTATTATTATGCCGACGTCATAGAGCTCTTGGAAACATTGCAAGTAAACCTTCGGGAAGTACTGGTATAAGAATACCTGTTCAAACAATGATAATTGAAATTGACATTATATTTTTTAAAATTGCGAAAATCTTCCCTGTATAGGTACCTAAATGCCATTGTAAAAGACCACCTGGCAAGATTATAATTAAAGATCGCAAAAGCCACTGGTTCTTCCGTTTGTCGAGAAAAGGCAGAAGTTGGAACAGCGTCTTTATTGTTGGATTTTTTTTATTTCAATTCGTTTACCTGACTTTACACCTATTTATCAAGCTGAAATACTTGCGACTCTCTTAGCATTACGAACATTGTGAATTCATGAAAGATGTTCTCATTCCTACAGACTGCCTGTCTGCCCCACTGCAGTGGTCTAATGGCTAACGTACTATGCTTCTGACTAGCAGGCCGCGGTATCGAATCCCGGCTGCGGTTGCTGCATTTTGAATGGTGGCAAAAATACTGTATACCCGAGAGCTCACATTTAGATGCACATTCAAGAACGCCAGGTGGTCAAAATTTTCGGAGGCCTTCACTACGGCATCTCTCATAACCATATAGTGGTTTTGGGACGTTAAACACAACATATCATTCATACTGCCTGTCTGTGTGTAATTCAGGACCTGCGCCTAATATGTCCAATGGTTTGGAAGTGTTTAACACCCTAGCGCAAGATATTCACGATTCATTCGCCCTGTGTGGATAACAGGGCATAAACCTTCAACCCTCAGTGATTATGCAGATGCACTTGCAGTGGCCTCGCATTATTGCCCTATAATTTTTATATTGCTGGCGCTAGCATTTATTGCCGTGGCATGCTTTGAAATATTTGAGACATCAGATAATTTGGAAAGTCCCCCTTGGCAACATCTGAGTTTCGTCATCTTAAGTGCCCCTGGAAAAATCGATGGCGCTCTTCAAGAAGGGCGCAGATAACGATCACAAGACTACGCTGCTCAGTTTTCCCACTGAATTTTTATCTACATATGTCTGGTCCGGAGCAGTCACCCCATACGCCTCCATTGCAATCATTTCTTCTTAATGTGCAGGTTAATTGCAAATCAAATAAAAGAACTGTTAGAAGAGCCTCTTTATAGGTTGGTTGTAAATTTATCCCTTTCGGTGCTCCTTTTTTTTGGGGAGCAACTGAAAAACTATTTAGTCACAGGAACGTTTGCTACGCTGTATGCGATTTTCCCAAGGAAACAAAATGAATAGAATGTTGAGCTTAGGCATAAGTTCTCTTTATTTCCAACCAGGTTTGTTTGTTGAGTTTTATTTTTCTTCACCTCTAGTATTTCCTATTTCAAATCCACGGTTTACCAATATATTCTTTGTTAAAACATCCCTACCTAAACATCCCGTCTGGTAAAACAATTTCATCTCAAAGATAACGTTTCGTCCATTTCATGGCCGATGACCTGTGGTCGTTTGCGCCAGGACTCCGAGAGACAACCAACAAACAAACTTGCGGCAGACATTGTAGAATATTTTCAGATGGTTAATGTTGGACGCACAAAAGTTCCTTTCTTTGCGCCAAGGTTGAAGACGATGCGAGCGCATCCCGGTGGTACTATCACGTTCCACTCCTACAAGTGAAGCTCAAGCGTCCTTAGCAGCTTTTGGGAGCACATCCGGAATAACTATTATAATAATATTAGTAATACCTACTATTACTATTAATATGGTTGTTGTTATTATTCTTACCCACCCCTTATGAGCCAAAAAGCACAATACGTATACAGCTTTCCATGGATGCCACTCGTACAGAGGCACCTTTATTGTCGACATCAGTTTATTTTTATTCGCGCAATGAGAACTTCTCGGCACTTAACAACTTTACGTAATGACCTCTTTGCTTCTATTGCTATCAATGTCACGTCTATTGATTAGGTAGCGTCTTCATGTTATGGTGATTAGGTAGCGTCTTCATGTTATGGTTAAGCTCTATACACTCGTGTGGCCACATTGGAAAATAGCTGTTTCATCGTTTGGCATATTCAACCATATTGCCCAGGGACATCATGGAGGAGGAAACGAGCCGACAGACTTCCATGGAAAATTCACAAATTTTATGCGCAAAGTACAGCACCAGGCTCGCATGCGACACAACTACTACAGGAGACTTCATGGCGTTCCAGATCTAAAAGAGAGCGAAGAGGTAAGCTTCTGTCTGCGAGGCAAAATGTTCTGGCTCTAATTAGCGTGCATAAGGTAAGCATGCCTATGAGGTAATCCTAACGAGAGGTGGACAGCGATGACGACATCGTTTATATATGCAAGGCTGTCGCATACGTCGAAAGGAATATATTGCCAGGAGAAGATAATACGAACAGTATCTATTACTCATGAGATCAAGAACTCAAGTTTTACCAATGATCTGTTTTAAAGATTCCTTTGTCCACACTACTAAACATGAACTATATTAAATTCAGAGCATATGCGAGTGTGGCGAGCAGTACAAGTTACAGAGGTGGATTCGTGAAATTGATTCATCTGGGAACTGAGATTTATTCGTGAACGACTTATTACACATATGTGTTGTCGAATACTTCCGTCGGTGTTCGTGCAGTATGATGGGACGCCTTAAACAGCGGCATCAGTTTTCGTATTTTAGTTACAGATTAGTGTTGGCCATAACCATCAATAGTTTGGTATAAAGTTTTTACAGATATCCCGCACGTTTTTGTTCGCACAATTCTTTTCGTCCACCAAGGACGTGATCTTTCATATGATGGCGAAGAAGTAATCATTGACAATAAACAGTATGTAGCTCATTGAAACACCAAAACACACACACGTACGCATGTACACACACCCACAATAATTTATTTATTGACACACGCATATGTATATAATATATATATATATATATATATATATATATATATATATATATATATATATATATACTTGCCGCCATAGCAGTGGGTGGCGCTGACTGACACTGCTATGCTTAATTCAATTCATATATAAACCCTTTAAAGTGGCTGGACGGATAGCCGTCGGGGTAGCTCAGTCGGTGGAGCATGGAACGTATTATTAAAAGATAGCATGTTGGGCTCTTTCCCACGATAGTTACCCTCTTCCCCTTTTTTCTTCACATTTACATTAGGATTCGGTGTAATAACTTCCCCTACACATTCAATGGCATCATTATCTGTTAGATCTGATTATTATTGTGTGAAACAAAAAAACGAGCCCCCAATATATATATATATATATATATATATATATATATATATATATATATATATATATATATATATATATATATATATATATATATATATATATATATATATATATATATATATATATATTTATATATATATGTATATCGTAAGCTATAATTTTTGTAGTTCTCATCCTACCTACATTATTTTTTTTTACCAGCTGAATCGTTATGCTCAAGCGTGGGCTGAACGGTTAGCCAAGACGGGACAGTTCAGACATAGGAGTCGATCCCCTTATGGTGAGAACATCTATATGAGCTACAACAGTGACCCGAATTTCAAGCTTAAAGGTGAGTCACCTTACTCTGTTTTGTTATATGTTAAATAAAAATAAAAGTTGACCAATATAATTCTAGTTGTGTTTTCAGTTTACATACGTCGCCTATACCACAATAATTTGGGAACCGTGGTCAATGACTTTCTAAGAGTTTGCTTCTGTGTTTGCGTATTTATTGCGCGAGGCTGATGGTGTAATTTTAGCGTCCTTCCAGAAAACATATGAGGTTCTGTGCTTTCTCTTTTTTTTTGTCATTGTGTGTCATGGTAGATTAATCTTTATCTCTGGATATAGCTTGCTTGACTCCCTCCTGGTTTCGCTAAAATATGCTGATTTTGATGTCTTTTTTGTGGTAACGATGCATGTGCAGTAGTATATTTTGAAAGTACAGGAATGCGCCGCTGTGTACAATACGCCGAAATAACAGGCGATTCCAGGCACCAAACAATAATATAGGGGTGGGTAAGCACACACAAAAACAAAAGCTTGAATTTTGCCGCGCTGACCAATAAGATGGCGATTCGTGGCTAGAAATAGGCCTAGTGGCCGCTGGTTTAAACTCAGATATAGCTATGTCGGGACTAGGCAGTACTAGTTCGACTTCGCTGTAGCTAGGTCTGAACTTGACATCTCATCACGTCTCGTTGTTTTCGGCCGCACCAGGGAAGAAAGAGTTCCCGTAGCACGCACGGACCTTACTCGCATTCCAAAAAGATCCCATCGACTGGAGAGTATACAACTTCGAGTTTCACCGCAACAAGGCTCAAACTTGGCGTGACTGTTGAAACCAGTGTTTTTTAGGATGCTATATTAATCCTGAGGCAAACATGAGTATAGGACGTATATATCAGATCAGTTGCTTTTACAGTATAGAGATGTGTGGTATTACACCATTTTTTTTATTGCAGGACGTGCTCCCGTTGACTCATGGTACAGCGAGATCAAATACCATAATTATAACAGCAACGGGTTCAACCCGAAAACAGGGCACTTCACACAGGTCATCTGGAAAGGCAGCCGCTGGCTTGGAACAGGCGTCGCTAAGTCACAAGACGGCAAAATCTTTGTCGTGTCGAATTACAAGCCACGTGGAAATATGATGGGCCGCTTTAGAGAGAACGTTCCGAGGCCGAACTCTGATGAAGAAATGCAGCAACAAAAATTTGGTTAAATTGATATCTGATCAAAAATATCCACGCTGACAAGCTATTGATACGTTCGTCATGTAGTTTAGCACTCACAATAAATTCATCTGCTGTTTGAGTTATAATGCATCATTTCACTGTGTTTGGCATCGTCGAACGCTCATTTAAGAACACATAGGTACTGCAGTCACATGCTGCGTCGCTTTCTTGCATAGTAATGCCAATGCTACAGGCTTTAGTGTGAATCCCAGAAACAAGTTTGTTGACGGATCGGGAGGCTATGTATGCAAATTTTCTCCTTTCTTGCAAATAAAAGAACTCCAGCCAAAAGCACTGGTCCATCAACTAGACACATAGCGGTCTATTTAAGCGCAACAAATACCGGTACCTTCGCAGATGCTAAAGTAATTAATATTGTGGTATTGACAGAAATATTGAAGCAGGCAAAAAAGAACGTGACGCAACGTGACCGCGATAAGAAACCTCTGGTTTCGCGAGGAAATGAGAACAACAATGTTTAGAAATTGAAGAAGCTGCAAGAGCATATTTGCCTGAAATCGAAAATCAAAACGTCAGCGTAGAATGTAACCGCACGCATCTACATGTGTCGCCCTATTTTGCTGTCCTTATATATTCCGGAAGTCATTCAACATGCGTAGAGTTGCGCTTACATTTCCCATTTCAGAGTCAGTAATCGGCCTTTCTTTGTCTTCATTAGGCTGGTAATGGCTTAGGTTAGTTTGTTTTCCCTTCACAGAAATGGTGAAGCGAGAAGCACTACGGACGCGGAGACGAGACCACCGTCTTCGCCGCCTCAGTGTCCTTATAGTCCTGTGTTTCCCAGCTTGTATATAAACCTCTTAAACAACATTCTTTGTCGGTGATTGCCCTGAATGTGTTTTTCTTATTATTTTTGTTTCCGCCGTCCTCCCGAATGACTGCCAGAATGTTATAAGCTAGAAGCACACCAGCTACCCTCCGTTATGGCCTTATTCGCAGGATGACATGGCACTCAAGTTCTCGCGATTGTCCCTTCTGAAGCGCGCTGATGAATACCATGAGAAGCTCATGACTACTTTGTACTATTTCGTGGGTGCCCCCCCTACTTCCGCAAGAGTATGCAAGCGCGCTTGCCGTTGTCATGGCAGGGGCAAATTTTCTTTCACATTTTTATATTGTGCGTATGTATATGTCTGCGCACTCATACAAACACCCACATAGACATAAAAAAACTGTCGAAGCCTTCGCAAATCACTTCAAGTCTGAAGAAATAGCCATGATATTTGGTAGGCAATGACATCAAAACTTTTAGTGCAATCACGGACGCAAACAAGAAGCTGATTGTGTGGCACACAGCCATAGATATCGTTATCATTTACCGAGGAAGCCTGGTAGCCAGCAAAGGTATTATCTTTCAAATATGCAATGACGTCACGTGAACTCTTGTCAAGAAACAGATAATTGATTGCTAACACATTTAATTTTCTCTGAAGAAATAGCGTTACCGATATCTGCCACTTATCGACCTCAAATGCTATATTACACGATAAGGACAATAAACTTTGGCATTAAAGAATAAACTGAGAAGTACATCCTTGAGTTCGTTCTCATAGATGATATGAAAAAAGCACGCGTTTTGAGAGTTAGTACAATTGCATGACTGTTTAATAGATTAGCAATTTGACATTTTAAAAATTGCTGACCACAGGTAGTTGTAGTTCTTGGTTTCAAAAGAGAAGGTGCCTAAAATGTATATTGTAGAGTTGGTAATGTTTGTAGCAAGAAATCACCCAAAGTCATTAACTGTATAATATAATTGGGAGTTCAGAAAGACGCTCAATTTATATTTCACGAATGCAAATAATGTGCTGTGATGAAAAATGGTATGATTTCTTTTTGTGGTATGATAAGTTACGAATAAAGCAAAGAGCTCTTTTTTGCATAATCTAGAAGCTATTTAGATTAGATCAAGACGTAATTCCCCAAATAAGAACACAGTAGTGCAAGCGGAAATGAACAAAAGAGAATTATAAATGGCGTTTTAACCATTTTCGTAACAAGGTCTGGTACATGCTTAGTAAACCTGTGGATATCGCTGTGTTCCTTACAAGAAATTCCACGTGTGGGAAATCGTAGGTTTTCGTGGCACTACACCCCGAAAAATGTATAAATTCCTTGTGTCGCTCCTGAAGTACAAGAAGGAACATGTACACTCAATCGCACAAATGCAGAAAGTCTGCATGAACTGCGGGCTTATTTTTTTTAAGCTGATCCTTTCATCCGCTTATTCTTCTCCGGAACCCGATGACTTGTCATGAAGTGGTTTGCAGCCTTTTAAGGGTCTCAAAAATTAGCCATTTTTTTCTAATAGACCGAATATCTTCAAGGTAACAATATTGGAGCTGTTTCTTTATTTACTGTGAGAATAAAGGTGTGTAAAAGTTAGGAGAAAACAAATGCGTGAAATGTAGGGTCACTCGAGCGTTAGGCCGGCCTAAGATCGCAAGATCATTGATTTGAAACCACGGAGGGTGTTGTTTTTTACTTTCAAACATTTACAAAAACGTCATGCTTTTTTCGTTTCACATAGTTAAGAAAAGAAGGCCACGTGAGCTACGAGTCACAAGAAGTTGAGAGCTGATCGGCTGTCAGGTGGTGTTCTACAGTGATAAAAAAGTTAACAGAACCCCTGCTAAGAAATTGTGCGGCAGCCTAGCATGGAATTGCAAAATTTGGTTCGAATGCAGATGACAGAACATTCCCAATCGTATATTTATTTAGAACACGTGATAAGGCGATCGTTTGAAAAAACGAGGACGTCGTGGATGCCTCACTGTCGACCAGCTGCCAGTAATGGGCTTCGTGACTAGAACAGGATTGGACACCCTGGTGCTGTACTTGGCCACTACCTCTCATGACTACAGCATTTAACCTTTGACTCTCTGGTCCCTGGCGGCTGCCAAGCAACTGTCCAAGGCGGTAGCCCCACATGTCAAGCAGCGGAGAGTGCTGAGAATCTCTGTGTTCCTAGAGGCCATCATTAGAATCTGAAGTGGGCCAAGTTCAACGCTAGAATACTGTCAGGTGAGTGTAGTCTAGGTGTCTTATTTGAGGAGTTTGAGGGTGGTCAATGGGATATAACAAGGCTCAGCGAAATTAGGTGGCTTATACAGTGCTGAATAACGAACACGTGCAATGTTACCATTAAGTAATTCACAGGAAAAAACTAAGAGTGGAGTTTCTTATACACAATAATATCACTGGCGACATCGAGGAATACTAAACCATCAGTGAGCGGGTGGCAAGTATCATAACTGAGTTTAACAAAAAGGTACAGGAATGTGCTACAGGCCTATGCGCCGACATTGAGCCATGATGGTCATTTGATATGACGCTTCCATAAACCCTTAGAGCCAGCCTATAATAAAGTAATGTCTCCATATACTATTCTGATTGGTGACTATATTGCCAAGGTAGGCAAGAAACACACAGGAGACCATGCAGTGAGGTAATACGGCATCGGCCCTTGAAATCCATGTGGGAAGTTATTAGTAGAGTTCGTAGAACGTAATAATCTACGAATCTTGAACACCTTCTTCAGAAGATGAGCTAACCGTGAAGGACGTGACGTAGTTCAAATGGCAGAACTAAAAAATGAAATAGACTTTACCTAGGTGTGCACAGCCAGGTATTCTACAGGTTGTAGTTGTTGGCATGATCCAATGCAGTGGCCATAGAACGGTAAAAACTTGTATTAACCTAGATTTTTAAAAAGCAAAGATAAAAACGTACTCTAGGAGCCAACTACTAAACTAGTGGAAAGGGTGAATGTTCATCCAGGAATTCAGACTTTACCTTCAGAATAGATTCGAAGCAATAAAGAAGGTAACCGACGTTACCGCTGACACAATTACGATAATTTTACTCGTATCATGAAAGAGTGTTCAGTGAAAGTCGGAGGTACAGTCCCTAGTTAGCACACTGGTAAAATATCTCAGGAGACAAAAAAATCTTATTAGCAGGCGACAAACTATAAAAGCCTCAAATGCAACCGACGAAACAGAGCTAGTGGAACTGTCTAAGTTTATCAATAGGCGTAAGCTAGCTGACATCAGAAGATATAACATGGCGAGAATTAAGCGGACTGTTAAAAGCGGCAGAAGCCTGAAATCGGCGAAGGCAAACGTGTGCATAGCCTAAAACGTGATTTTTACATTCAAGAACGAGGAACGCACTGTCATAACTAATACGGACAGAACAGTCGAGGTGGCGGAGGAGTTCTACAGAGAGCTCTACAGAAGCCAGAACAGCCAGCATTATATTGTCACGAGGTTGTGACGTGGCCGGAGACAGGAGAAGTTATGTCTGTTTATTTGGGTGAACCTGTGCCCGGTAAACGGAAAGTCAAGTTACAGTCGAAGTCTTGCACAGACAGCAGTGAATAGAGCGTCGGCCGTCGATCAACTACTACTGACAAGCGGCGAAGCGCGTCGGCATTTATACTCTTGCCATCGAATGTTCTAGCGTTATCGCTGGCGGTGACGTAGGTTCCAGAATAATCTGTACAGTTCGCGGAGTGGGCGTTATCTTATCGAAATGATCTACTACGGTCCTCAAGCTTCTCAAAAACTGCAGGCGCGGTTTGCGCTAAGAATTGTGTAATGTATTGGAGCAATAACAAAACTTGAGAAACGAAACGTGTCATTGCCCTCTCTGAGAAAGACATTGTCCCGATGCTATAACAAAAGATGAAGGTACAACAATAATGCAAGAAAATATAATGAATAAATTGCGATACAGCAGTAATACAAATAACACTGTTCCAGTTTGTTAACGCGCTTGAAACGGCTTGAGGCACGTGACATGGACGACTTCAGGTCGCGATCGGCGCCTTTGAGGGTTCGTGATGCCGTTGGGGACAACCTCGTAATCAATTGAGCCGAGACGTCGAACCACCCTCTATGGTCAGAAGTACCGTCGCAGAAGCTTTTCACTGAGTCCACGTCGGCGTATCGGCATCGACACCCAAACACGTTCACCAGGCTGGTATTCCACGAAGCGTCGTCAAAGATTGTAACGGAGGCTGTCGGTCGTCTGTTGATTTTAATACGGAGACGCGCGAGTT